TCTTCCAAGAATTTGTTTTTATCTTCCAAATAAATTCTACGTCTTGTGACAACAGCTTAAGTTTTTCGTTCCTATTTGAAAGACAGATTTAACTCTTTTAACTGTCTCGTTTATAAATAAATAACTCTACTAGTGCCAATAAAAAATGAAAGGAACACATGTTTTAATATTTCAATATCTATCTGAAATTTGAAACTGGTAAACTTGGGAAGTTTGAAGGTTTATACTCTTTCTTCAAGGTCACACAAAATTCCAATTTACATGGCAGTACTCTAGAGGGGGATACATCTCTGCAAATGACAGTGAAAGAGTTATATAAATCTCACGTTATGTAGAACAATAATTGTAGAAGGTTTAGCGAAACGTTAAGTAAAATACGAGTTATTATCAGATCTGGAATTCTGTGTTGTCTTTAACTGATAAAAACATATCAGTGGTTGACCAACAAGCTACGTTTCACGCAAAAAATGCGAGATACTTTAATGATTGTTGTAACAACGGTATCTTAAGTATTATTCCGAAAAATTATATTCTATTTATTACTGTACAAATTACCATTTAAACACCGAAAAGCTAAATTTGTCCGTTACAGCACAGGCAATGAACCAACATTTAGTATCTATAATATACCATTTTCAAATATAAATAAAAAAAATCATCTTATTGTTTATAATGAAACTAAAAACATACAAATATAATGTTTGCAGTTTAAAAATTTAAAAGATCACAGGGCAACACTAATACTCACACAGATTTACGATAACTGTTTTTTTCTTTTTACAACGACAATATACTGAACTAAGCCTGGTATAGCCTAATGGTTAGAGTTCTCGACTCGAAATTTGTGGGACTTAGTTTCAAATTCCCATCACCGAACATGCGTGCTCTTTCAGCTATGGGAGCGTTATAATATGCCGGTCAACCCCACTATTCGTTGTTGCACGCACACATACTGAATATGTATATCCATACTGTACAAAGGAAATGGCTTATGTTAGACAAATGTACAAATCACTTTATGTAATTTGAAAGTCAACAAGTTAAACTATGGAACCTATCTTGAATTACAATTATGTGAATATTTAGGGAACAAAAATATGTTACTCTTTTATGCAACAGTACATTAGACTAAAATATTAAAAAAGAAAGCATTTACTAAGGTATGGAAAAAAGCAACATTAAATGCAATTCCATAAATTGACATTTCATTATTTTTGTGCTCGTTGTACATGATCTGCTATGAGAATGTGTGTTTCGGTACATTTTACACATGGTACGCGTGCCACACCAAACATGCTCGCGCTTTCAGCCGTAGGGGCGTTATAATATGACGGTCAATCCCACTATTCGTTGGTAAAAGAATAGCCCAAGAGTTGGCGGTGGGTGGTGATGACTAGCTGCCTTCCCTCTAGTCTTACACTGCTAAATTAGGGACGGCTAGCGCAGGTAGCCCTCGTGTAGCTTTGCGCGAAATTCAAAACAAACCACATGGTACGCACTACAGAAACACAGTACCCGGTTTCGTATTTTAAGATTTGATCATTTAAATTTGCTGTTTTAGTAATTGCTTTACTTTTGATTACAGTTTCCATAAAATGTATATAAATATTTTGTACTGGTGGTAGTCAAGGATTTTTGATGGAGACTTAAACTGGCAGAGTTACTGAAATTTAGAAACTGGATAAACAAAGAAACAAAATTTAGCTCATTTTGATGTATCTGTAGCAGGTATGTTGTTGACATGTTATCAGAAAACACGTCTGTTTACTAGACAAGTAGAATATTTTGAATGTGCATAAATAAAGAAATTAGACTTTTGGAGATAAATCATCTTTAAAAAAAACTATTATTGTATTTCACTTCCTTGGCGACGTTTCGACCAAACGCTCTTTTTCAAGCCAGAAACATGCCTGTCTGTTAATGAGAACTACTGGAACGTTTTGAAATGAAGCAATACACGAGAACAGAGTGTAACGCGAGATACAACTACGAATACTAAACAATATAATGAAGCTGAATAAAAGAGCTAGTGTTTTAAAGAAATGCGCAAGTTTTGCCCCCATTAAGAAATATCTAAAGGAGTTCAATACAAAACACTAAGTTGAACATTTGTTGTCGTTTACAGATCATTCAAGACAGGAAACACTTACGCTACCTACCAACACTAGTAAGCCTTTTTTTTTGGTTACAGAAACAAATAAACATGTGGGCACCTCACCTGGGACATTTTTTTTTCCTCTCGATTATTACCTATAGAAGTGTCCAAAAGAAATTTACACCTTCGATTTTACAACTGCGACATCTGTTAGAAACCTCACTGAAAACAAAGAAACAGCTTTACATAATAAAATATTGCGAATTTTAACTCAAAACCAGATTATATTCACACTTGACATAACATCACTGTATACCTCCATTTCACACAATGAAAAAGATGGACACAAAGTCCTAAAACACTATCTTGGCAAAAGGGATACCCTAGACCCACCTACTGAAATCCTGATCAGATTAGCTGAACTAGTTTTATCGCTAAATGCCTTTTCGTTTGCCAAAGAATTCTATGAAAAAGTGAAGGGTGTAGCCAGGGGAACCAAAAATGAGTCCCTCTTACGTTAACCACTTTGTTGGTTACAATGAAGATGTGCCCTCCCTGCCTTATATGGTATATATATATATATATTAATGATGTTTTCGGTATAGCTACAAGCACTAATGATGAACTCGATATTTTTCTTCAGTTTGTTAAATCCTGTCACCATCACTCCAATACACATCTTCTACTTCCCACCAAACTATTTCATTTCTTGACATAAATATTTCCGTGACTAATGATGGCAGTCTCACGACATCTGTACATTATAAACGATAGACACACATAGTTACTTACATTTTCACTCCAGTCATCTCCCATTTGTCAAGAAAAATGTTCTCAAACTCATCAGATTACAAAGGCTCTGCAGTAACGACCAAGATTGTAATAGCAAATCTATCAACATCTTCCACTTTTTTCGAAAAACGTGGCTACCCCGCTTTTCTTTCTCATTACGCTAAAGATAATCTACATGCTAATAATAAATGCCCGACTTCAGCTTTTCAGAGATCATTTAGATTAAATCATATCGGTAATAATAACACCAACACCCTTGACAATTTAAAACTTCCATCGACACGCGTCTAACCTCGAATCAACCAACACACTCCTACTTCCACTGTCCACTGAGCATAAACACATTCCCCTCACACCTACCTCTCACCCATTCAGCACACAAATAACACAGTGTTGGAGAAATTTCACAACATGACACAGAAAAGTACAATCGCTCACATTTTCCCTGACAAACCTTTAAGCGGGACACTAATATCAAATATTTACTCGTCCATAGTCAACTTCCGAACAACATGCAATTGTCATCTGATTCTCAAGTTGATACGTACAAGTGTCAGAGAAGAATATGCAACACGTGCTCTTACATTGACCATAGAACATCTGTTAAGGGCCCTACATCAGCGTATTCTGTGAACTGCCATTTAAATGTTTAATATATTGTATTATTTGTAACAACTGTGACCGAATATGTGTAAGAGAAACCAACCTATGCTCGCTGAACGCACACGAGAACACTTACGTAGGATCTTAATTAAAAATAAAGATAAACCTGTAATTCGGCACTTCAACGAAGCTTATCATTCCTTCGAGCACTTTAGAGTAATTGCTCTACTACATGTCTCCTCCAACACCAATCAAAGAACCACAATCGAAAAAGAAATAAATTTCAAATTGAGTTGTTTAAGTCCTTTGGGTATTAACGAACAGTTCAGCTTTTTATAAAAATTTTAAAATAACCTTCATTTGTTATCTTAAAATTGTTTTTTAAAGTTATTTCTTTCTTTGCTTTGTAAACTTGCTCTTATTGAGTGTTTTTCTATTTGAAATAATTTTAATTACACTTTTATCACCAGCTCTTTTATTCAGCTTTATTATATTGTTTAATTTTCGTGGTTTTATCTCGCGTTAAATTCTGTTCTCGTGTATTGTTTCCTTTGAAAGCGAGCCTGTAGTTGTCTTTAGCCGACAGGCTTGTTTCTGGCTTGAAAAGAGCGTTTGCTTAAAACGTCGCCAAGGGAATAAAAATACAATCACCGTTTTTTTAAGGTGATTTATCTCCAAAAGTCTAATTTGTTTACTAAACAGTCGGAGAAAGTTAACTATGCTACGTTATAATTTCAACTGAACAACAAAGTCATTAGGAATCCTTACTCTTCTTGCTCATGGAGTTAATGCGCTTTTCAGGGCAGTAACTGGAGTAATTAAATTGATAACACTGTAAAGAAAAGACTTTGTGACTCTGACTTAAGGACTTTCGAGAGAACATAGTATCACTTATGGGGTGGAAAGAGTATGTATAGTATGTATATTGCAGAATTGTTTGTACTTTCAAGGGATAATTGTGGGTGCAACTGGATCAGATATTATACTAACGAAGGATAACACCTCTGTGTTATGCTGCTAGGATAGCGATGGACTACACTGAACCAAAACAAGATAGATATCATTGATTAGTCAGCTAGAAGGTGTGATCTAAATCCTACAGAACACCTCTAAAACATCCTCGGACGTTGTATAAATCAACACCTGAACCAGCCACGAAATTATAAAGTTTCCTATAAATATTTTCGACGACTAATCAGAAATATAGTTTACAGTTGTCGCTACTGTATTAATGTAGGCGAGTAGGGCAAGGCATCCTCTTTATTTTTTAAATTGCTGTTTATTGAGATAGATTGATTCAGACAGACCCTATCTCTAACACATTTGAATTTGAGAGTACTCATGTTTTACGGGTGGTACTTATCGCAATATACTAAATTATATTGTACTTTTGTAGTACTGTTAATTTGGTTGAAAAATTGTCCTTTTAATTTTTAGGGAATAGCTTATTTTCAAGCGTTCTCTGAAACCTAATTTACGAGACTCGCTCAGATATTAGTATGTAACTTACCCAGCAATGCCTCCAGACTCCATGTGATTAGCCAGTGTAACGTCATTAGACCAAACGTCAAACTGCCACTTGTGTAGGCCTAATACACCACAAAGGACGCTACCGCTGTGTATACCAATTCGCATGTTTAGGTTCACCGTGGTCGTTTGGCGAACGAATCTAGTATGGAAGAGAACACTGTCAATAAGTATTACATTTAATAATCGACGAAAAAATAACAATTTACCATTAAACGTTGCGATCATTCTGCTTCGTAACTTGGATTTTTAATGGAAAACTTGTATAGCTATGCAGATGACTGTCAAACTGTAAAAGTGAAAAACAGAACTACAAATTAATCACGCGCTAAAAGTACGCTGTTACCAAAAGAGAACGTACCTGTAACAGTAATACATCACTGGAAACAGGGCTATTGTTACTCACACTAGTATATAACTCGTGGTTGGACGTTGTACTGAAAATATTGAGCTAATAATAATAGGTCGTTGTTAGTGAAAGTATTCACTTATTAGTAAGAGGTCGTTGTTACTCATAGTAGTACATAACTGGTGGTAAGTAGTTGTTTTTTAACGTATTACATTTATAGTGAGAGGTCGTTGATATCAAGGTATTACAGCACTGATAGCAGATTACTTTTTATAAAAGATATTACATCACCGTGACGAGCCACCATTGCAGAAGGAAGTACCTCATTTGCATATGGTCTTTTTCAATAAACGTTTTACATAACTGGTAAAAGATAGTTTTTACGGAAAGTATTACACTATTGGTGGCCCATTGTTATTACAGAATATAACAACAACAACAAAACAACAACTTGTCGTGTCATTACTTCTTAGTAACATTGTCAGACAATGTTGTTGTGTTGTGTATTGTCTATTGTAAATACTGATGTATAAGACGTCCACCTCTGAGATGGATTTATTTTTGTTGGTGTCTCGATAAAAAAGTCTTTAGTAATGTTTCGAACTTTTATCACATTTGTTATGTATTATGGCTTACTAATATTAGTAAAAAACTCTGGTTTAATTTTGACTTGCGTAGTCCCTTAGCAATTGTTAAAAATGATTATCTTAAACCCAATAATTTTCATCATAGATTGAAAAATCGTTAATTTTCTGTTAATAGGTTGTTCCATCCTTTTTCTAAGCGAATTTCACGTAAGCTTACAGTTGAGTGTTTGAATCTGCGTATTTGTATATTATAGGTTGAAGCTGGGACAGCTAAACATGTTTCCGAGATAACTAACATATACATAGGAGAGTTGTTTATTACGTCAGGTGTTTTACACTGTTAATGAAATATTAATTATCGTAGTTACTGTGTCACATGTTACTGATGAAACGTTGATGATAATGTTTCGTGCACATTATGTTGTTGATGTAGTACTTCGAATAATATCTGTTCAGAGGTGTGGTCAGGCCTGAACAACTTCTGTTTTCCCAAGAGAGGATTATTTTCTTTGTGCTTGTGTGCTTTGATCTCCAGTTCTCACACACCCTTAGGAACTTCAGAGTACGCCTTAGGAACTTAGTTTACGCCTTTGCTTAGTCACACATTTTGCTCACCATGAAGCACAAATGATACACTGTTAAAGTTTCATTTTCAATACCTTTTAAGATTTTTCTAACATTCTCGATTCACCAAAAAACACAAATATGAATTCGAAACTTGCTAAAGCTACTTTTATGGACAAAAGAAAATACATTAGTAAGTTAAATACCACGTACGTAATATTAGTATCGTGAGAAGATTGTTATAAAAGAAAGGGCATAACAAGCTCATTTTGCAATGATACTTTTGGTAAAACTTTAAATTATATTATTTATTTCAGTAAAATGTACTTTAATATTTGCTGTAAGATGAAAGATAAGTACATGAAAGATAAATACGATTTTTGTATAATTGCCCCAAAGAAACGTGGCGAGTATTTAATAAAATCCCTAAATTCTATCAGCTATGACAAGAGAGAGAGAGACCGCTGAAACAAAATGGCGAAGGCGTGTGTTCAGAAAAAGTAAATCAAATTACAATAGTATGTGTTCAATGGTATTAACAACTTGACCTTAAAATACCTAGGAAATATAAATTGCAAAAAAAAACTGCCTACTGAAACGTTAATCTAAGTAGGAGTTTCTTTTATGTACTGTCGAAAATAATAAAAAGGCAAAGCAAATGATGGATTGCTCACAAATTATGGGTATAAGAACACTTAATATAACGAACAGTAGTAATTGACCATTAGCAGATAACACGAACAGTAGTAACTGACCATTAGCAGATAACACGAACAGTAGTAACTGACCATTAGCAGATAACATAACTAGCTGAACTTTTGAAATCTGTTATCCAGAAAGGTGGGTTTTATAAGACAACAACCGATTCTAATACTTTTTTAAATCACATGTCGTTATACAGGATGTCTGAAAGTTATATGTTGTATTACAAGCTTAAACCACGACAAGGCAGTTATCAACTTACAGTTTGTGTTGAATGAAGGGTACATACAAGCAGTTTTATGCCATGATAAGTACTATCGCATATAATGCATGTGCGGTTACAAAATATTTCATTAACAAACATGGCAACAATTCAAGAAAATGCTACGTGTGTGTGTCCTGTAGCTAACGGAAATGAAATCGCCAGTTCTTGTGTTAAGATAATATCGTAGAGTGTGTGTTAAATATCCACCATTTATCAAGAAGTTTCACGATGTCAAAAAACACATAGGTTCAATAAACCATGATACAAATTGATAAAAACCCGATAACCCGAGCGCTTCTTCTTCAGGGGCAAACTGGGAATGAAGTTATAAAGAACTAATATCGACAATTTCAAGAATCAGAAAACGTGTTACACAGGAAAAGAACCTCGGTTGTCCGATCCCCTGACCGGCACGTTAGCCAGACATCACTCCTCCGGGGCTATGTGAACGACATCGTCTGCAAGACAAAGATGACCGATCTGGGGACACTACGTGAACGCATCACCAATTCAATAGCTATTGTGACTCCTGATATGCAGTCATCACATGGAGCACATATTAAGGTGTACTGATGGCAAATGGTGAGAGGCTAAAAAACTACTTACACGTGCCCTTCATCCACCACAAACCGTAAATTCATAACTGTTATTGTTTGGTCGTTGTTTTACGTCACATAATTTTCGGACATCCTGTACTAGCAAAAATTACGATTTGATCTGACGTTAATTAACACTTTTTTTTAAAAAAGTTCCATAGAACATATGTACAAATATGATTTTTTCTTGATGTTTTTGGGAATTTCATTTATTTCAGTAACAAATAATATTAACTGTTTAATATGGCCAATATAGATGGCACTGGAAGTAATATAAATAGAATAAGTTGATATTAGGTAAGATTTATTGTTATTATAATTATTTTGTGAAACAACTTTTCTGAGATGAAACACGTATATATATCCATGCTGTTAAAACTATCACAATGTTGCGGTTTATTTAATGTCATTGTATCCACAAGCGCAACTGGTAAGTGCTAGGATTGGAAGAACTCTAAGTAACGATTTTATGAAACAATCATCTTAATCTACGTAAGTATAATGAATAAAGATTGATACTTTTTTGATGATAATGCCACTTGTGCATTTTTCTTTTTTAAAAGAGAGCTAATGATATGAAAATAAATAGAAATAATATGGATTTTCATAGGGCAAAGGAAAAATTGAGCCATACATGAAAAGCTACAACGGTTCATTGGACAAAGGAAAAATTGAGCCATACATGAAAAGCTACAACGGTTCATTGGACAAAGGAAAAATTGAGCCATACATGAAAAGCTACAACGGTTCATTTGACAAAGGAAAAATTGAGCCATACATGAAAAGCTACAACGGTTTCGTGACTTTTCTAAATGTTGTTATACAAACAGATAGAAAGTATAATTATCTTACAATTTTTTCTAATTTTTTTTTTTTAGGAATGCAAAACATTGATTTTTTTTCCCGAGAATAAATTGATATTAAGAATTAGAATCGATGTTGAAAAAGGGATATTTGCGATTAGGGGTATTGCACTAGAATTTGCGATTTGTTGTTTATATATATCATTTTTGAAATTTTTGTTGTTGTTGTTGTTGTGTATCAAGGGTAATTTTGAAAACTTATAAAATAGTTTTGGATTAGTCCTACTTACTCAACTTTAACATCATTTTACTGTTTCATGAATAATTAAAGTCAATGAGTAGCTGAATTTAGTAAAAATGCTGTAATTTTTCAGCTCTTTTATTCAACAACTTATATGTATTTAAAAATAATAAATAATACGTTTGAAGTACCATGTTCTTTGGTTTATTTTGAATGACTTGAAGATGTAGAATAACATTCTTTCTTCACACTCACACACATAGATATAGTATCTTGTTTGAAAGTTTACGATTAATTTTTTAACGTTACTGGTAAACCGGTTACTGATGTCATTATTTATCTCTCAATACTTACTTTATAACCTGAATCATATGTAGACCCATCTCCACACAGCAATGAGCGTGATCACGCCTGGGATCGGGTAGGCCGCTTACACAATAATAACAGTCTCCTAGAAGCTTGATCCTTAAGCAGTGATTCTCCTATATAGAACAGATAAATAAAAATATTTACAATAATGAATGAATCTGCATAGACAGAAAACGGAAATATAAGGAATATATTTAATTGAATGTTAAACATTTAATGCAACTTGACTTTGAAAAAACCAAAACATCTACTTGCTATTTATTAGACAACAGTTATGCATCAGAAAATATATCCAATTACTGAAATTTAAAGGAATCTAGACCACTTAAGGCCACTGAAATCATTAATAGATAAGGAACGCACTTACTCTCTAAACTGCAAAAAGATGAGCACAGAAAGCGATTAAAAAAGAATGTTACCCATTTCAGGATTTTGTTTTGAAAAAGATTGTACTCGTTAAATACCAAAATATCATATATAAACTAAACGAAAAAAAGCTAAATTTTGTGCATAAATAATAATAATTATTATTATCAATATTATTATAAGTAAGTTTATCCTTGTTTAACTGATATTAGAACCTGATAAACTAGCCCCCCAAAAAAAACTTCCCCATCTTACCCCTAGAGTTTATAATGCTAAAAATCGGGTTTCGATATTAGCGATGGGCATATTACAGACAACCTGTTTTATATCTTTGTGCTTAACAACACCCCCTTCTTAGTGTAACTTACTGTTACTTTAATAAGTTTAGTTGTCTTATACGTAGGAAAGCATTCTTTATAAGATAGATTAAAAACGTTTAGTGCAAAATACAAAACGAAAACTGTAACAGTACCATAGTTTAAATGGTATTTTTAGATATGCATTTAAGATTATCGAGCTTATTTTTACCATAAACTTTACTCCCAAAGTTAAGCTTTCGTGTGTTTTTAAGCAAATTAACTTGGCTTTGCTGCAGAAAGCATTATGTTAGTAATCAACGTACATCTGAGGATCTGTTAACTAGAGAACAATAATGATCAATTACCGTCACGGAATGGCAAGCCAAATTAATAGACAGCCACATCAAACCTGTATTGTTTGATAAAATATTGCGTACATTTAACATCGTAGGTAAATTTCAGATTGAATAAGTATTAAAAGCTCATAATATTACTAATATGAGGCCAAAGATAATTGATAACAACTCGTCCTACTTATTTTTCATTTACATTATTTACATAATGTGATCAGCTTGTTGTTAAACAGACAGATGAGTAGTTGCGCATGTTGAATCATTTGTTTATCTTAATCAGAATGAACATGACAAGAATTTAACTAACTAACAATAGCATTATCAATAATAACATTCTTCTGGATGTTTAAAAAATCGTCATTATTATTCACATGTAATTCGTAAGTACACTTCCAGTTAATTAACTAATTAGTGGAACAAATTTAATTAATTATAGGGTTATTCTTATCAAACGTTCCTGACACGTTACATAGTTACAAAGTACTTATTATTTTATAAAACCATGTGCATTTTACAATAGAGGTTGCAATTTTGAGGTTAAGTATTTGTCACAATAGGTGGAATTTAATTATTCATGCACTTAAATCCAGCCAAATGCACGCTTTTAACAAGGGTACTTAATTAAACGTAGTGCAATGTGAAAAATATGAGAATATCTCACACTTACTAGCTGTGCAATTATTTTCGTAATACAAACCTCCCCATGAATACATACATTGAAATATTACTATTATTAGGTTATAGTATTCAAAACCTTTAATAAAACATACATACCTATTATGCGAACAAAACACAGATGTGAAACTATACTGATAAAATCGCCACGAAGTCTGACATCTTACTTCCGATTTATTTATCGAAGTTGAAAGATGATTTTAAAATGCAACTGATGTCCGAAACAGGGAATAATTATTGACAAGTTAATAAACTTGTCAATAATAGTGAATAAATAAAGGTAATATAATAATATATCTGTACATGATTAAGTTTTATATATCTATATGTATGTGTGTGTGCCGCACATATTTTTTACAATGCGCTGGCCTTGCATCGGCTGATGGTTAAGGCATTTGACGCAATATGCGATTGTTTTTAAGAGATATATAGTTAAAGAAACTGGAATCACAACAATTTATTATGACCTCGTATATGTCAATTCCACCTATGCTGTTCCCACGGGCGTTTATGCATTTGGTGCGCTTAGACGTTGTCTTGGAAACCGACATCATTGTACAATAGAAATTTTGAAAATTTTATCAACATACATTTCAAGGGCAGAACGAGACCTGGAACGTCGTGTTTTATAAAATGTGATCAATGCCAATAATCCCAAAGGCAATCAATCGAACAAGTCAAAGAGCACTTTGGCTAATCTCACGTTTAGCAGCATCGTTAGACAAAAGAACGATCATAAATTTGGTAAATATGATTAAGTTCGGTCAACATAAACAAAACAACATATCAGAAAAGACAATTTTACCAGTAACGTTCATTTAGGCCTTACTTCTGAGTATAGTGGTAATTATGGCAAAAATAAAATATTTTTATAATAATACAAGTGTGTGTAAACTGTATAACCCATTAGTTTAGGATATAATGTGATTTACTAAAGTTGTATCTAAATACGATTGTGATTCAGATTGGATCTACAGCGAGAATAAGCTCAATTAAGACTCGAATTTCCTTTCCATCAAATTATAAAGCTCTAATGAAAAATTAACCGCTGCAGGTTCTAATTAAAGGTGGTTTCATTACGGATAATTACGTTAGCGGCGTCTCCTTAGTTAATCTTTAACACGGGTGAAGTAGAAGGCAAAGGTCTTGTTACAGAAACTTGTCATGAAAAAATTGGCTTTTACAGCTGAATAAGATTATGCAGAACTTAAATAGTTTACTGAAAGCTTTAAAGGTAAAGTTAGTAGTATCTCAAGATGGTTGATATAATTAAATTCGTGATTTATATTTATTACTTTTTTAATTAAACATCATACATTAACTGAATAGATAAATACTAAACATATTTCTATTTTGTGACTGATATACTTTAACACGGGACTAACGAGGAAATTTAGTTTGAAAACTGAAAAAAAAAAAGAGAGAGATACGTCTATTTAATTTCAGGTGAAGAAAAATATTCTATGGAGAATAGGCTTATATAGAGGATTGGATACATTATATTAAAATGATTTTGCAATTTCATCGCGTCGTTACAGACCATACAGGTCATGCTCTATGTGACGACCTTGCATCCGGATAATACCTCTGAATCATAGTTTCCACTGCAAAAGTCTCCGTTATAAAGTTAAAGGATACTACTACTCTTCTTTAATTGCATACAATAATTCATTTAGTGTCCGAGAATAAGGTTCCCCAGAGTTTGTTTCGACAAAACAACCATAGAAATCCATAGGCGACTTGATCAGTATGTTTTCGTATGAAATAGCATGAATAACCGACTGGAAGCCTTATCTTGGTTAACAATACCCTGTAGATCTTGTTTTCAGACAAACTGTTCTCGATTATGTTGCGTACTGTTGCTTGGGGCACGTGGACGACGTTTTTCACTTATCTTTATGTTTTCATCTGTTACAACACACTACACTTTACTTACCACGGCTGGGACATGACTTGTTGTAGGTCACTTTCTAGATGGTCATGGTTCCTTAAGATGATATATATTCCTTTGCTCTCCAACGTCATTAAGTACAAGGAATGTACCTATATATCCGACATAAACACATTTTTTTATTATCCAAGTGTACGAAACTTTTGTGTCAGAAAGAGCTGTTGCATATCTTTATCAAAAGTAATCACTTTTCTGTCACAGTATGCTATTTACTTAACGCCAAACGATATTAAAATGCAGTTCCACTTCGACTTTATTGTTTGTTTTTAATTTCGCGCAAAGCTACACGAGGGATAGCCGTCTCTAATTTACCAGTGTAAGACTAGAGGGAAGGCAGCTAGTCATCCCCACCCACTGCCAACTCTTGGGCTCCTCTTTTACCAATGAATAGTGGGATTGACCGTCACATTATAACGCCTCCACGGCTGAAAGGGCGAGCATGTTTGGTGGGACGGGGATTCGAACCCGCGACCCTCAGATTGCGAGTCGAACGATCTAACCACATGGCCATGCCGGGCCCTACAACTTTATATCGGCTGTGGTTGTCACGTGCCCTGCTGATTTTCATATTCAAAATCGTTTTAATATAAAGTATCCAATCCTGCATAAAGCGTGAATTATTAAAATGATTATAAAACCTTAGTTCGTTCCACTTTAATATTAAAATATAAATCTGATAGCACTTTTAAATGATCTTTTATGTAAAGTGCTAATCATAAGTTTCTTAATACAGAAGATGTATCTTGATTTTCTTAACAAAAGACATTGTAACTTACTTTATAACACGCATCTTTAATATCAATTTCTAATGCAAGTCTTTATTTCAAATGTTTTACTACAAGATTTTGACGCATATGTGATTGAAGCTAAGTAAAAAGCGTTTTGTTACAAAATTATTTTAATCGTCGGAAATATAATTATTACAAGGGGTTACTTAAAAGTTTTCCTCTACTTTCACTTACAACCTTCAGTTATTATCCCCTGGTGGATCAGCAAAAAGTTGACAGATTTATAATACTAAAATCCCGAGTTCGATTCATCGTGATGACAGAATGCAGATAGCTTATTATTTAGCATTGTGCTGTAACAAAGAACGTCAAGAGCTCTCAGTTAATCTTTAACAATAATACTTGCAATACATGATACCTTGGACTACATGCTATATTTTCTTAGACTTAAACACTCCCACCCCTCCCCAGTTGCTCAGAGGTAAGTCTGATGGCTTATAATTCTAAAACCCGAGTTTAGATACCCGTGACGAGCACAGTACAGATAGCCCATTGCGTAGCTTTGTGCTTAATAACAAAAATCTTAAACATTCTTCTTTCTATTATGCTTTCAGTGACTCAGCGATAAGTTTGTAGGTTTACGGCGCTAAACATTGGATTTTGATACCCCTGGCGGGCAGAGCACAAATAGCTCACTGTGTTGTTTTGCGCTTAACAACAAACAAATATTTTTATTATACAGGGTTATTATAAAGAAAGTTTCGCAGTTCAGTACGTTATATCTCACAAAGAGCATAGCTTTGGAAGATGAAATGGCACAGGGGTATTAGAAGTATCATATGTTACCGTGATTTTTTCGCATATTTCTCATGGGTATATATATTGGCCTGTCGATCGCACTACAGCTTATTCGACCAATATGAACTTGTGAAATGTTATTACACCAAAAATGTAATGTCAAGGCAGCTCACAGGTATGAGTTCCAGCGTTGCTCTGCACAAGTTCATTAAAAAATTGAGGAGACAGGTTGCACTTGTGATAAGCCACGTACAGGAAAATCACCGACACTTACTGAAACTGTCGCTGAGGTCAGCCATGCAATAGAAGAACAAGACAGCACAAGTGCACATGAGTGCAGCAATGCACCGTTATATCGTTCGATGTCTGGATTTGCCAATTTCAACTGTTTACTTCCGTTATGTTTCCTTACAAGCTGCATCTTGTCCAAGCAATGAAGGAGACGGATTTAACCCGATGTGTTGATCTTACGTTGCAGTTCATGGCAGGACTAGAAGTCAATGATCAATAGCATGCCAATATTTCTTGGACTGCTGAAGCACGCTTCACATTTTCTGGAGTCCCCTTGTGGAACAGCGATACGTTTTCGGACTTACAACGCTAAAATATGGGGTTTCAATACCCGTGGTGAACATAGCAGATAGCCCAATGTAGCTTTGCTCTCAAAGAAACAAAAACCTCTTCTGGAAATGTCAACATGTGCAACTGTATTACCTTGTTGTGATGTAACATTTTCTTTACATCTCTATGACAGTGTGATGTGGTTTAATAGTTGACTTTGTTATCAGACATTACTTTCTTGAAGAACCATCAACAAATGGGCCTCAAACCTGCACAGTCAATGTCCACAATACTATACATAACTCACAACAAATGTGATTCCTATGCTGCAGCAATGAAAATGTGATAGACACTACAGTTTTCATTCATGATAGTGTCCCTCCACACGTCGATAACCAGGTGACACATGTCTTCCGGGAATACTTTCACGACAGAATCATATTACGTTACTTTACTTGTAAATGGCTACCTGGTTCAGCGGACTTAATACCAATCTATTTCTAGTTGCAGAGGTACCTGAACTTACGCGTGTGCCGTGGGAAGCCTCGCACAATTCCAGACCTCAATGATGCAATTGTCCAGGAAGTAGTCAGCATAGCAGATGACATGCGTGTTGTTGCTGCAATGTCCGATATCACAAGGATTCAATCCATTCCAGATGCCGGAAGAGCACATTTTAAAGAGTTGGTATGATTGATCATACATTAGGGCATATTGAGACCCCTGGTGCCAACAAGTGACAGCTGTAGCAGTTGCATCTGCATGACACCCTTAAAACTTTGAGCAGTTTCACCTTCCTTTGCCATACCGTTTGTGAGATATGACGCATTGAACTGCGTAACCTTTTTCACAATCACCCTGTATTATATATATATATATATAATTTGCGATATGTCGCTGTGGTCATTTTTTTTTAATCAATGATAATATCAACTGGTTCATATTTATCACTTAGAAAACACTCCAGAAAACAAATCAAAAAGAAACCCAAAAACAAGAACACCTGACTCACCAAAGAAGCATAAATATTGTATAAACATGTGACAAAAAGAACAAGAAGATTGACACAGGAACTGGATTCGAGACGGTGTTAACATATCGAATAGACAAAGATATTTTTATTTGCTTTTATAAAATGATATACTAGAAGTAATTGAAAACTTAAAATGACCGTTTTATACTAATCGTTCTGATTGATCTTTGTATCTTAAAAACATAATTGGGGATAAACATTATAAATTCAAGAAATTTAAACTTACTGGAAATAATTAGGACTTGGAGGGCTGTAGGAAATCAAGAGAACTGGTTAAAAAAGAGGTTAAAAGGGCAAAAACTGTACATAAAAGAGGGCTGACTGAGACAGATAAATATAACACTAAGGAATTCTTTAGGTACATAATGGGTAAGCAAAACGTTGGATGGGGATTGGGTCTCTCAAAAATGATAGTGGGGAGCTGCTCTCGGAAGATTGTGATATGGTAAACTTATTAAATTATATGTTCTCTTCAGTTTTTACGAATGAAAATACAAGTATTATGCCTCAACCAGAGCACTTAATGTATGGGGAAATATTGATGTAAATTATATCATTTTAAGTTCTGAAATTGTAAGAGAAAAGTTAGGAAACCTGAAAATTGATAAATCTCCTGGACCAGACAACTTTTATCCTAGAATTTTAAAGAAACTTAAATATTTTATTTATGAACCGCTAGCTAATATTATTTATTGGTCATTGAGTAGTGGAAGAGTATTAGAAGATTGGAAGTTGGCTAATATTAGTTCAATATTTAAAGGAAGTGATATACATTGTCCAGGCAGTTATAAGCCAGCTAATCTTACATCAATAGTTAGAAAGGTTTTGGAGAGTGTGATTAAAGATGCATTGCAGAATCACTTAAAGCAGTTTAATATAGTGTCAAAGAGCCAACATGGTTTCACTAAAGGAAAGTCTGTTAAGCAAATCTTCTAACATTCTTTGAGGATGTTACTGAAAGAGTTGATGAAGGAAATACTGTTGATTTGGTTTACCTTGATTTTCAGAAAGCGTTTGATAAGGTGTCTCACAAAAGACTTGTTACAAAAATTAAATCTATGTGTATGTTGGAAATGTTATTAAATTGATAGAAAATTGACTGGATAGTAGAAAGCAGAGAGTAGTAATAAATGGAGTTAGATCTGACTGGATCACAGTTACAAATGGTGTGTCTCAGGGCTTTGTGCTGGGTCCTCTGCTGTTTGTGATTTATATTAAAAGTATTGACTCTGGAATGGCTAACAAAATTTTGAAGTTCGCAGATGACATTAAGATATAAAAAAGAGAGAGAAACACACACAGAGGAAAACCAGTATTCTCCAACTATAATCTGAATCTAGTAATACCGTTATTGTTGAATTCTAGGATATATGTATATCTAACCAAATATTAAAATACACAAATATATATGGATGGTAATGTAAAAAGCAAAATTTTTAGGTGTTGTAAGATCTATGTAGCAACTGACTATGACTTATAGTTTACGAATGAATATATTTTGCAATATTTCGGATTAAAATAAAGTTGACAAGGAACACTTACATGTGCCAGTCGATCAAACCTGGCAAACAGATCATTCAGAACTTTGACTAGTTCATGAGCTGAACAACAAGATGCTAGAGCAGTGAACCCCTGGATGTCAGCGAACAAAATGCTGAAAGAGAATGAAAGGAAGTTGTCGTTGAGTCTCATGTCTTCAAAACAATAATGATCTCACCTTTAGCGTTATATATATATATATAGTTGTTTGTAAGTACTGTTATTTGTTTCTTCAAACTTTTATCCCCAATGTTGTCATCGTTAAGATCCATAACATCGTCATTTGCGCTGAAAATTTATCAAAATTCTCTATAAATTACAGAAATATGTCTCTGAAGTTTGTTAGGTGGGTGTAAAATTATAACAAACTTTCAAAGACGGTTACTGGGGATGTTGACGAATTTGCAACCAGCTGTACGATTTGACGAAGAGCGCTAGCTTGAAATGTCATCCTCTTAAAATAAAAATAAAAACTTGGCGATTGTTTAACTCATTATTTGGTTTCAACTTAGCAATGAACCACAAGGAAGAGGAAGGATTGGGCATCAGTATTATTTATTGTTGTCAATACATGTATTCTGTGCTAATTATATTATTTAACATATGAATCAAACATTAATAAAGGATAGTTGACAATGAAGATCCAATAACTGTATAATAGGTTTTAATTCCCAAGGGAGTCGCAAAGAAATTATTAATTTTTCAATTTTTACAATAAACAGAAAACCAACTAAATTTCAGATGAAACAGAAACATTATTAAAATGGCCAATAAATCTTTACACAATCGAATGCAAAAGGTTGCAGTTAGTACGGTGACCTAGTTTTGTTATTTGTTTCATCTTATTTATGTGAATTATAATTCTCATGACAAGGATAGTAACCTTCATAGGCCACTACACGAATAAAAAGGCTGTGATCATCCAATGAGGATCCAAACAACTAACATTTAAGTTTCGTTCATTGTTTTAATATTTTAATATATGATGCTATACGTATAGGTAGGAGAGTGGGTTCACAAGTAAAATAGAACTTCTAATAAGAAATCCTGCCAATATATTATTTTAATGAATGTTAATTTCAATTGTTTTTCTTCGTATTTAGGATTTATATGTAAAACACAGCCTTCAATCCATTAGTTATAGACATTATAACATTGTCATTAATCACAATGCACTTTGAATTTAGCTCTTGAAATCGTCACTTATACAATTATCTCATATTAACAAAGATCTTTTGTGTGAAAATCACTTTTCATCAACCATAAAGTTTCCACAGAGTTCAATACTTAAATAAATTTCACTACATATTTATCACAAATGTGAAACAACAGCAACATAATTTAGGCACAAAATTATTTTGCGAATTTCAATAAATGAATACGTTCCTTTCCAAGTCTGAGACAAAAACACAGTAGGTATCTTCAATAAAATCTTTAAATTCAGTGTATTTTGAGCTGCAGATTATAATTTGAAAATATGTTTCTTCTGAATAAAAGAATTATAGCTAACTGGGTTATTAGAGTTTGAAATATAAACTATACATTTTCTCAATTTCCAGACCCATGAATCTGTAATAGGATCTTTAAAGATGTCTTAAAATTAGATCTTTAGCATACTAAAGCAAACTGTTCCTGAACATATTAATTATCTGGTATGATACTAAAATAATTAAAAACATTATCACCAGACTGCATCCTTTCAGATACATGAAAATACTTTGTCTGTGCTTTCCAATGTGTTAAAAGGGTGGAAATTTCAAATATGTTACATATGAAAAAACGTGTTTGATAAATCACAAAGCGAAAACGATTTTTTAATATAACTTGCAACATGTAATGCATAAGTATTCCAATTTTTATCTGGAAATAATATGATAACAATTTTGAAAAGTTCCTCAGCAAAACCTCTAAGTTAAGACTTGGGATTATTCTAATAGGTAAAGCGAATTCCGTTAGCTTATCGAATAAGTACAAAGGTAGAAGTTAATTTGAGCAAAGATATGAAATCCTTATAATGTGTGGAAGTTTTGGAAGCTAAATGCGGTGAGCTTGAAACCAATACAATGCTTCTTACTGTTGAACTTTGGAAGCGAAAAATACTCACCTATCATTGATTGTTCCTCAAGCAGATAATTAATGAAAAGTATTCTTTTGAAGTTCATTATCATTAAGATTTCTACTTACTTGACTTATTTTGTTAAGGTGCTGGAGTCTAGAGTATTGTTCTGAAGCTAATGATCACGAAGATTTCTACTTTCGTAACTTATTTTTAAGGTGCTGGAGTTTAAAGTAATCTAGAGGCAATTTCCAGTTTCTTCCATCTTATCACCTGTATTAAATTTCGTTATGATTTCGGTCTTATTGTTTCAATAGCTGTACATCCCCTGTTACCTCACTTATCCATCAATACATCACTCATTATGCATTTAAAAGGAAATTAAATTTCCACGTTCTAACAATGATTCTTATTCATGGTACACTCTACACTCCGGATTTATTCTGAGAAATTTCATTAGACTTAAGCTCTGTAATTTGTTTTTTACAGAATAAAACAAGGTTGAATTTACAAAATTAGGAGCAGGAACAATGGTAAAAATACACAATAACAGCTTTATTTAGCCGTGGGCTAACATTAAAAAACGATACATGTTTCGACAGTTCTACAGTGCTATCACCAGGAACAAAACATACTTGACAAGTGGGTAGCTTCATAAGTAGGAGGTTTAACTCATTGTAAACTTTAAGGGTAGTACGAACATTATACATAAGAAATTAATATTTCTTTTCAAAGATGTGCGTCAACACTAGCTAACCCTTCACCTCTATTGAACAAAGAATTATTTAATTTACGGCACAACATTTCTATTGATTCTCTGATATTCAATCCACTTTGAGTATTACGGTCATTTAAAATTATTGCTTCATGCCATTGTATTAAACGACCTGTTTCTTGCTTTGAATTTTAAACTTTTTGCACAAGTTGCCTTGATTGAGTTTTTAGAATTCTATTGCAATTAAGAAATTATTATACGATTTTTTATGTAAGAACTTTTTGTCAAGGATAACCAGTCAGGCCGCAATATTTTTCTTATAATATAAACAACACAGAGAAATATTTTTTGGTTCGTTTACCATTTATTAGCACATTCGCTTCAGTTTGAGGTATTCGTAAATACACTGAGTGGTCACAAGTAAATAGACACCTAATGCTTCGTCATG